CCATTCATGCAAAAGCCCCAAGCACCAGTGTTTAAGATGGTACAAGCAGGAAATGCAAAAGCAGTTTCATCCCAAATACTAAAGAGATGCTAGAAGAGACCTTTCAGTCTCAGGAGTAGGTATTTAGGAAGAGATGTGGCATCTGTCCATAGGAGATTATTCCTGAATAGCTTGGCCATGGGACCTGCTTTCCATAAGACACTCAGAGGCAGTCCTCTCTTTGAGGAGTCCACTGTTTGAACGGCTGTCTGGTCCAAGCTGTGAAAGATAAAGAATCCTATGAAAGGAGGGGAGCAGGGGTCTTGAAGCTACCCATCAGCAATTCTCACCTGGGCAGGAGACTGAGTAGGCATGCAGGTCACCAGGTCATAGTTTTCCCTGCTATGGTGAGATGTATTTCTGTATAAATTATATTAATTATTCTTAAATTTGCACCTACACATAAAAATTGGCATATGCTGATTTTATGCAGTCTGTATCTTCCTTCATCCTCCCTCCCTCCCTCTTTCTTTCTTTCTTTCTTTCTTTCTTTCTTTCTTTCTTTGCTTGCATGGCTATCCTAATCCTTGGCAACATCTTGTGGTCTCTTCCAACTCTATGATTCTATGATTCTATGATCTACATGTTTGGTCAGTTCACTGGCTTTATTATATGCTGAGTGACAATTGTTACAAACCATTCCGAAATGCAACCGTGTCATAGGTTTGCATGAAAAAAAAGCAACTCCCTCTGCTCGCGCTATGTTAATAGCATTATTGTAGTTTGTATCTGATTTAAAACAGTATCACAGTAACAAGTGTTCTTATAATAATAATAATACACTGATTTGTTATCTTCTTCTTTTTTTCAAAACAATTTAATGACTAGAGCAGGCATTTAGACCTTGTTGAGAAACCCCAATGAAATTTGAAATGCTGCCCCTGGTCAGGCCTGAGAAATGTATCCCATAAATAGGTGCCCACGTAAGGGTGTTTGCAAGCAAATGAAGCTGACCTTGCAGTAAGAGCATGCTAAATTACCCATACACAAGCTTTGATGGCTGGAAAGAAGGTTGCCTTGGCTGTTGTACATCAAGTAGATTAAGGAAACTGACTGCTACCAAGAACTGCTGGCAGCAAAGCATGCTTGCTTCCACAAATGAGGTCAGCTATCCCCCACCACGACAGGAATACAACAGCTGCCGCTGTGCCCTAAGCAAGGAGAAGGTGATGATGAGGTCTAGTATCAGGATTTACCATTGGTGTGTCTGTCCAAGACTATTCCTTTAAACAAGTAAATCTATGAAAAGCCTCTGCAGGACAATGTCATAAGTTAGGGACTCTGTGCGAACTATACTCTGTAAAAACATTCCAGTTTATTTTGCATAGAATCATAAAATTGCAAACTTGGAAGGCACCCCAACGGTCCTCTAGTCCAACCCCCCCCCCCCATGTTTTCTTTTGTTTTCATTTTCTTCTGTTTACATTTTGTTTATTGAACTTCAAATTCCCCTCATAATTTAGAGCATTAAAGCAAACGACAAAATAACAGCAAAGTAATACAGTATAACAAAAATTAAAATCAACAATAATGGAAAAGAGTGGCACAGGGGGAAAAGATCCCACAACACAGAGTGGGTCATTTGTGAAGCCCAGCTAAAGCATAAAGCTTTCAACCTGTTTTTGGAAGGCCAGCAAAGAAGAGCCTCTATGAACTTCCCATAATTTGGGGGCTGCTGCAGAAAAGGTCTACATGGGATGAAATCTGGGGCAGGGTCTCACTCTGAGCTACTAAGAAAACACCATGGGAAAAGATGTTCCTTGAAATGATCAGGCGATTTCAGGATTTCAAGGTTAAGAGCCAGCACTTTGAATTGGCCTGGTTGTGTTTTGACTGCAGTGACCTCAGTCAACCATGGAAGCTAGAAACTTGAAATGTGAGATGCTTTTGCTTCCAGGGACAAAAAGAAGATATGTTTAAAAAGAAAAGGGGGGAAAGCAGCCCTGCTGATCCAAATCATTTGCAACAGGCACGGATAGGCAGGATACTTCTTGTTATGTGGTCATTTTGCAGTTCCAGGACAGCAATCCAACAGTTCCAAAAGCTGCGTCATCTCCACTGCCTGGCCCCATGAATGAATGCACAGTAGAATTTTTCTGACAGATTAGTGCTTCGGAGTTTGGTTTTGTCAAGGCTTGTAATTTAAAACCAATGTTTTCTGGCAGAAAGCTGGCTGTGTGCAAACAAGATAGTGATAGTTGATTGTATTCTGCTCAAGGAGCTGAATGGGAACTGGGATAGAGACTGTAACCACCATCCCTGGGTGCAGAAAGCTGATCGAGGGGAGGCTGAAGCTTAACAGCTAGCTCTTGCTGACCGAATTTGACACAGGGGCGTAAGGTCTCCCTTGCATTTCTCATTTTTTCATCCCAAATTATGATCTGTAACTATACAGTATAAAACATCGGGCGGGGGGGGATGCCTTTAGCTTTTCTCACCTATGTAGACATGTAGTTTGCCCCATCCCAAAGGCTCGGGTATTATTGTGGACTTGCAGTCCAATTATTGTGAATTAGGCCAGCCACTGTGGTTTTGCCCTAAAGCAATACATGATCAGAGTGTGGGGGGAAATGCTAATATTTAATAATGGCCCTGAATAAAAATAATTTTAAAATGTACTTATGTTTCTTCTTGTGGACTTCCCATAGGTATCTGCTTGGTCACTGTGAGGACAGGTTGCTGGACTATTGGTCTTATCCAGCAAGGCTTGTCTTTTCATATTATGTTCTTCAGGACTGCACTTGGGTAGACCCAAGCATTAATATCTGCTGATATCCTGCTCTTCCCCGCCATCTCCCCCTGCCCCATCCCTCTGTGCAATTAGTTCTCTTTTATATATAGAATTATTTCCCAGGATTCGTTTTGCCAGCCACATGGTGCTGGCACTGTGTGGCTGTGTCATCATGGGCATCCTTCCTGTGAAGAGTAAATGGGGTATTTGAGCATGTTTCTGAGGCAATGGCACAGTGACTGGTGCAAAGACAGAGCCCTGCAGGAATGTACCTAGCTCCATCTGTGATGGTAGAAAGTAAATATTTGTGACAGTTTCCTTCTTTCTTCGGGGAAAGAGATGAGGGACTGGAACCTGTGGAAATAAACACAGCACAGCAAGCTCTGGGGTGTGGGCGCCTGAGTGCAGATGGGCAGCTTGTTCTCTCGTCAGTTTGTTCTTGTGGAGCCATGTTTTATTCAGAAAGCATCTGCCAGGTGTTGTGGGCTCCTAATAGGAATGAGCCACTGGGACACAGATAAGTTGTTTCCCATCCAGACAGCACCATCTCTTGCGGTTTTCTAGCTGTTGTTCCCAAATCCTCTGAAACAAAAGAATGTTTAGCCACAAGCTTCCTTTGAAACACATCCGTTGCCCAAAGTGAGGTCATTTGGGCAGCTGTCAGGCTGCCCAAGAGAAACAGTCCACCATCTTCCCCCCGCTCTGTGCTTCAACAGTAAACGTAGCAAATCCTCGCTGCCATGCTGAACAGCAGCTGGAAGCAGGAGGCTGTCTGGGTTTTATTGAGTATTTGTTCTGCTTTGTTTACAGGGCAGGTAATCATCCTGATTACTCGTGGGCTGTTTACACACCTTCTCATTCATCCCCTGTTCAGTGCATTTCCCCATCACTTTCCTAACTTCAGAAATCCATTTCCTCCCACCAGTGCTTTTTTTTCTGGGGGGACACATAAACATTTTGTGAATCTAAGTTTGGCCTCATCGAGGGGCAGTATTTCAATATGAACAGGAAAATGAGAGTACCCCTAAACATTTTTTTAGACAAAAAGCACTGCCCCCCACCCACAAGTGGATTTGATGCATTGGGGTGTTTTAATTCAGGTTAATTGTGCAAACTTAAGGTCTAGTATGTACTTGAATCCCTTCTGCAAAATACCGGTACTTACAGCCTGGAGGCACCCTAAAAGGGAAATGCATTTGGCTGAATGCCGGGGGGGGGGGGCGGCACAATTTCAACTGGCCCAGTAGTACATGTCATTTTAGAGGGTGAAACTTAATTTTTGAAGATTTCTTCAGTGAGGGGTCTTAGAAATATGTTTCTGTGTGAGAGGATTTCAAATCTGCTATTAATTTTGTGACTGAAAATATGGTAAAATTTGATATGGTCCCAAAAGAACAGGGATAGGGAAAAAGAGGGGGAAAGAGAAAGAAATATATCTTACCCAACATAATAAATGCTACTTTTCAGTGAAAAGGCTGTGGGAGGTGGGATGTTGAGAATCAAATCCTGCAGGTGGAAACTCAGCCTCCAGCTTGAGCATTTTGCTTGCCATGGGAACAGAAAAGAGTTTACTGCAACTCACTACAAATTTTCTGCCAACTCCACTTTTCAAACAAAGGGAGGAATTCAGCACTGTGCTATGTTGAACAGTCTGTCAGTGCATTTCTGCTTGCCAGGTGGAACAGGTCCCCAAATCCACACATCATGTGGTATTCTGGGGGTTCTTCTGACCCTGTGACGCTATTTACGGCAACTTCTGGAGCGGGGAGGAAGAGGGAAGTGAAATCCTTGTGTGGGCTTCTGCTGACAGGACTCGTTAGGTGAATCCTGCCCAGTTTGTTGAAATTGAATATATACGTATATAAAAGATAGAACCTTATGACTGAAAAGGCAAGTCAGACAACTTTTTGGAAGTGGGATGCCAAGGAAAGGCTAAACATACATAAAACAGGAGTCACTTAGCCCTGGAAAGTAGATCCATTGTATATAATCTTCTCTTGAGGACCATGCTAAGAAGAAACAGGTTCTAGCACTTTGAAGCAGAGTAGGCAGTGCAGAACACTGATTGGCTAGACACTGCTGACAACACAAAAACATCCACACACACATACATACATATATCGCCTCCAGATATATATTTACAATGGGGGGGGGGGTAAAAAAAATCAGTCAACAAATTATTGTTTAATAATTTATTCACAACCGGGTGGTGGTTCCATCATCATACAAGACCACTGGCTCCTATGGTTCAGATGACTCCCTTGTTTCTTTAAAGCACTGTGCTTTAAAGAAACAAGTGCTTTAAAGGGAGTGAGGAGGGATAAAATCATCTGAACCATAGGAGCCAGTGGTCTGTACAAGGTAGCTTCCTATGTTCCTATCCTCCCATCTCCAAAGCACATATTTATCTATTTTATAAAAAATTAATACACCGCTTGATTGTAGAAAAAACCCAAACACTGGGATATCCTGTGGCACATTCTCAAACTACATGGTCTACATTCCATAGTCCTTCCCAATGCCTTGTTTTCCAGGAAGAAATCACTCTCGTCTGTTGATTTTCCTCAGGAACAATAGCAGAGCAAGATTTGTACAGTTGGTTGAAACGAAAACTTGAATCAGAAGTAATGGACAGTGACACACATTTTTAAAGTTGCAGTGGAGAAATATTGCTTCATTTGAAATGGGCACCATTTCAGCGTAGTGACTTTATGCTTCTAGACACCCATGCCAGTTTCTTTTTCTTTTTTCTTTTAAAAAATATTTTATTTAATTCTTACCATATCACAATAGTACAATGGTGTGAACAAAAATAGATAAACCTTCTTTCGACCCTTTAACAATACATTCAACATACATATATCCAAATACTTATTTTCCACCCTCTTTTCCCCCTGTGACTTCCCTCCACCCGTGTCTGGCGTTATTAGCTTTGTTACCGTATCTTTAAAATTGTGTTTGAACACCCATGCCAGTTTCTGCATGCCAGCAGTGAAGGTTGTGTATGGCATAGGCAGCGTGATCGACACTGAGTCATGAGTAATGAAACTGGTACAGACATGCCATGATTGCAATTCAACGTGGAATTGGACGTTACTCCAAAAAGGATTGTGTGAGCTTCTTTCGCTGTTCCTTTCCAAAGGCATCTGTGGAAAATTGCTTCATATGTGTTCTGACATATCTCCGTCTGAGATATGTTGATAAGCTCAAATTGGAAATGTCTAGTTTGCTGGAGTGTCCCATTGTCCTCAGATCTCCTTTGTGGTGTGACCAGGACCAAAAAAGAGAGAATTAGCGCAAGCCTCACAATTGATCCTTCTTCAGGTTATTAAGTTGGGGCTGTGGACAGCAGTACTAAATCCCAAGGGTATGGACTAAAGGCTGAGTGACTTGAGATGGAAGCAGTGCAGGTCTGGAGCCTGAATAAGAGCCAGCCCTACCAGTAGATACAGTACAGCATCCCACTTTGGGTGGTATAAGAAATCATTCAAGCTTTGCCAATTTCTGCCCTTGGAGACGCAGAAATGAGGGAGGTCGATAGACAGGAGAAAAGTAGATCAGCCCTTCCCAGCCTGATGCCCCGCAAATCTTTTGGAGTGCAGCCTCCATCACCTCTAGTCCCATTGGCCAGGGCCGGGGGGACTTGGCATCCAAAACATCTGCAGAACACCAGGTTGAAGAGGGCTGTGATAGATCCTAGCCTCAGACCCTGTTGCTTGCCGTCCCTGGCAATGTTTGCATTTGAACACACTTTTTAAAAAAGAAGAAGAAGAAGAAAGAGCAGTCAAGGGACATTTGTAGAGAGTTTCCCTGTTTACAGACAGCAGTTTGTCATGCTGGCAATCTTCAAAATAACTATCATTGGGTGAAACTGCTCTCCATGGCAGACACTGCATCAAGCGGCTCTGTGTTATTAGCAGGGCCCGAGGCATTCAGGGAGACAGAGCTCATGCTGCTTGGGGAGGTTTGTTTGCATTTAAACACAGGCCTCGATTCTAACTGGTAGACTGACTCCGTGCCTGAGAGAGACTGGCTCCCAATTATAGGGGGACATGTACTGCTAGCACTCTGTAAGCTACCATGGGCATTTTTGAAATAATAATAAGTTGGCTCGATGTACATTTGTGAAATAAACGCAAAATAAATATTATTAAACACCCCACAAACACACAGACATACTTTCACTAAGACGTTACCAGCCCAGAGACTGCATAAATGATAAAGACACTCTGTGGACTAAACTAGTTGTGATGCTAATTGTGTGAATGGTGCCAATAGAAGTTTCTCTCCTAATGCAAATAGTAATTTGGGAGAGAGGGAGTTGGGACCACAGCAGCAGGGAGGGCTTGCTTGCTTGTTTGTTTATAAAATTATACCACCTTTTGGCCTTAACAGGGGTCAAAGCCTTCCCTCCCCACCTCCTGCTTTTTCCATGCTGCTAGCACAACTGTTTAGTTGAATATGGCCCTGTGAGTTATTAAAAAGGTAAACATTTAATAATGCATTTTAAAATGCACTGCTGTGCTGCTGTTTAATACCGAATAAATCCAAGAGCATGCCCTTGGGAAGGATATTCTGTCCCAAACCCGAACGATGGGTGTCAACTGGGTACAACTGGAAGGAGTGAGGGTGGGGCCCAGAGGTTTCAGTAAGCCCTTCCCAACCTTCACCCCTCCCCAATCATAAATCAAATCCTGAGGTTACAGTTTAAAGATACGGTTACAAACAACTTGAGTGAACCATTTTCACAGTCTCTAGTTTCTCATCCAGAAAAGAAAGCAGTCTGCTCAACAGATGACCACAGCTTCACAGTACCGTGGTACCTCGAGTTAAGTACTTAATTCGTTCCGGAGGTCCGTTTTTAACCTGAAACTGTTCTTAACCTGAAGCACCACTTTAGCTAATGGGGCCTCCCGCTTCCGCCGCGCGATTTCTGTTCTCATCCTGAAGCAAAGTTCTTAATCCAAGGTACTATTTCTGGGTTAGCGGAGTCTGTAACCTGAAGCGTCTGTAACCTGAAGCGTATGTAACCCGAGGTAGCACTGTACTGAAATGCTATCATCTCACAAATGTTTTGTAAGCATGAGCTGTATCTGCTAATTCTTCAACAAAAAAATAGCAGCTCATAACAACATATCCCCCCTCCAAAATCAGCACCTCTGCTTTCTTTTTCATAATTGCTGCATGGCAATGTCATTAAAAGGAGACTTGGGTGAGTGAGGAAATAGTTTTAGGTGAAAATCGTAAAGAAACCTTTTAATGCATTACCTTCTCATTGTGGTGAGTGGCTGGGCAATTTGAATACAAAATAAAAAACACATCTCCAGTGTCAGTCAAGGTAATTTATTTGGGCTGAAAAACCAAATAGCATTCAGCTATTTTGCCAGCATAGTACGTGTCCATCTAGTGAGAGTGTGCAGGAATCTTGCACTGGGGAATGGTGACACAAGGTGCTCCAAACTGCCAGAATTTTACAGGAGGGATTCAAATGCAGACTGGAACTTTAGGTTTGCACAACTGAAGAGCATTAAAGTGCCCTGTTGCCCTTGCACAACAAATCTACTTTTTGAAATAAACACACACACAAAATGTTTTTACAGGTTGGGAAGTGACAGGAAAATGCACTGAAAAGTGTAGGATGGACAACTGATTAAAGGGGTGATATGCAAACCCCTGCAGGCAAATGCAGGATGAATGCTCATTGTTGTATAACCACCTCATAAACAAGTCAGAATGAATGCTCAATAAAGACCAGGCTTTGTGGGGAAAGGACATGTGAGAAGTTTGCGCTAGAGGCTAATGAGCTGAATTGACAATGGCTCCTGAAAAGGCCTCCTGGCATCCTTTTTTACACCTGGGTTCCAGTCTTTATAGGGGAAAGAGGCTAAAAAGGGCCATAAACAACTAGAGTCAGACATTACAGTCTTTCACAAAACTGCAGGTTATTGTTTTTCAATGAAGAGGAAATAGAAAGGCCATTTGAACCCAGCTTCCAACAAGTCTTCAGTTTCACATCTGGGAAGGACAATTGTATCACCATCACAATTTCTGAGGGTACCAGTCCCCCCTCCCCCATGTAAAGATAACTAATGCCAAGTGGTGAGTGCCTATAGCTTGAAATGATGTGGCAGTAAGACCCATTGACCTTGAGAAATATGGCAGTCCTTGACCACCTGGATAGCTGGTTTATTTGTCACAGGACAAGTGAGACTCACTCGTGCCCATTTGCGTAGTGGGTGTAACAGCCCTTGAGAGAGAAAATTAGAGTCCTTCGACCCAAATGTTGTCAAGGGGGTAAGTCCTTTCACCAACCCAGACTTTTTTTTTCCTGTTCCTGCTCAGCTCAGACAGTTGTCCACTCTACTCCCTTGTATACAGGAAAAGGAAAAGAAAAGACACGATGATGTTTAATGAGGGCTAATTGATCCTTTGTTTTGAAAATATGCCTCCCAAAGCCCAAGTAAACAAGTGGGCTGGAATAACTTTGGCATGTTTAATTAGGTTCTGTAGCAGATTTTGGCTTCAGTGATAATTGTATGTATAAATAATTAACAGGCTATTTTTGTCTTACCAGCCATGCTCCACAAGAAAGCAGGATTCCTGCTGCAGGCACCACAATTGCCCAAGGGGTTCAAAAGGGTGTGTGGCCAGAGAGGGTGCTAAAAGATAGATAGATAGATAGATAGATAGATAGACAGACTGCTTTTTTCGGGGGAGGGGACGCAGGGGTACGCATACCCCTAAACATTTTGTGAAGCTAAGTTTGGCCTCACTGAGGGACAGTATTTCAATATGGGTAGGAAGATGAGAGTACCTCAAACATTTTTTTGAATAGATAGTTGGTAGATAGATAGATAGATAGATAGATAGATAGATAGATGATAGGTAGATTTTACATATGGTCTGCAGAGAAGTTGTCAAAGGAGGGTGTGGCAGGTTTACCTCCCTCCCTGGGGCTCAAGCATTAGAGAAGGCAAAGCTGGCCCACCATGATTTTTTGTTGGTGGTGGTTTGTTGTTCTTTTTAATTTTATTATGTATTTTGTGGTTTTTATACTGTGGTTTTATGTTGTAAACCATCCTGAGATCTACTGATGAAGGGTTGCATACAAATTTAACAACAATAACTTCCTGACGGCTGACAGGACCACACAGGCATTGACACACTAGCTAAAATGTCCCATCTTCTGCTTGGTCTTAGTGTGCTGCCTGTAAACACACTAGTATGCCCCAGTATGCCTGAGGGGAAATCATATAGGAAACAAGTTAAAATGCAAATGCTCATGACTGCAAACATCTAGGAAGCCAGTGTGCATGCATACAATGGTAGTGCTTTGGGTGTGTATTTTTAAA